TAGAAACAACACCAGAATGTTTCCTTCCTGCCTTCCTTATAGGATTAGCCCTATAAAGTGGGAAAAAAACAAAATAAGATTTATTCCAACAACTGGTTCTCCAAACTGCTTAGAAAGTTAACAACCGGTTCTCCCGAATAGGTGCGAACTGGCTGAATCCCATCACTGACTGAACATTATTAACAGAAGACAGTTTGGAACAAATTGATATATACAGAATTGGATTTCTACAGTCGTTCTTTAATTCATTTACAAATAAGTCCACTAGTGCTTATAAAGAGGCTATTGCTTATCCGCAGGATTCTATAGATATTCAGGAATAGTTGTGGCTGAATGTCAAATATGTATTTGGCTTCCCTTCCATCTTACATCTTACATGCATTCTGTGCAATGTAAAATTCAATAAACTGGCACCTACTTGGTCTTGAGAGCAAAAGAGGACAAAACTCGTAGATTTTCTTTATAAAATAAAACTCTCCTAGAAGCAAAAACAACTCCTAAAAGTAGTATTTCCTGGGATAGCAAGCTAAAATGTGAAAACAATGACACTGTCTAAACATTCTCTCTTATTGGATTAATACTGCTCTAAAGTTGACCTGCATGTTACCTAACGCTATTATACATACAATGAAATCTCTATTACATGGTCCCAGGATGCCTTTCCGCAGCACAGTCATGCAGGGTCACGTTGCACAATATTAACAATATTAGTTCAATATTTCTTAGAGACCTGCTCCTTAGATCTGAAGCCAACGCTATCCATTTACCGTACAAGAGGATTATTATCCCCAATAGGTCACAAACCTAAAAGGCCTGCCCTCTTCCACTCTGCCCCCATCTCCTCCGTCAGACAACCCTGATTTTGTTGTCGCTGCTGTTGAACCTATTTATTACAAGAAGTGGAGCTTAACATTCTACCACATGAAAACCCCATCTAGTTACTTCTTAGGCTGGTGGCCAAGAGCAGAATGCTGCCCTCACTTCCTGTTATACAGACCCGATCCCCAACAACACATATTTTGTTCAGTGCTTACAGGTAGTCCTCTACTTATGACTGCCATGGGGACTGGAATTTCGGTCATACGTCATGATGGTCTTAGTCCCATGTGACCAGATCCAATTTTACAGACATTTTTATAACAGCTATTAAGTGAATCATGCGGTCGTAAATTTGGACCCATTCTCCCAAATGGGAGGGGTTTGGGGGGTTTTGCCGAAAGCTAGTAAAAACCACTGCAAATTGTAGTCATGTGATTGCAAGGCGCTGCAACCGGTTGTAAGCCGGTTGCCAAGCACCTAAAATGTGGTCATGTGATCACAGGGGCGCAACAGTTTACAATGGCTGGACTTGTTTTATGGGTCCTAGAGTCCCTTTTCCAAGTCTATTGTAACCCCAAATGATTTCATTAAATCAAGGACTACCTGTATAGGAAATTCAGGCAAGTAAGTTCTTTCTTTCTTGATACCAGCTTTGTAAATGATAGGTTGGTTCTCAATATGACGATAGGCACTGCAGTTTTACTTCCACTGAGCCTTTCTGTTCTTATTCCTCCGGTGTTTTTCAAAGGGAATGCAGGCCCCAGGAAAAAGAGGCTATAATTCTTACATTGAGTTGATGGTAGACCTAAAGAGAGAGTCAGGGTTTCCCAAAAGTGTGCTTCTATGTGAACAGAACTACTCAAGCTGGAAAAGAGGATTCGATCGGTGAAATCTCTAAGTGTTCTGCGTTATCTAATCTCAGAAGTTCTGGCATTGAGGATTCTGTATTAGCTGCGAACTAAGAATGCTGTAAGAGGACACTGCCTACGTGTATATCCCGGTTAAGCTTCCACACTGAGGTTTCTAGGTTAGGGTCTAGGTAATGAGAAGATTTAACAAGTTTAAATATGGACTCATTTTCCCCCCTAGAATTTAAAAACACTGGTTGTGGTTCACACCGCATGCTCAACCTGGTACTTACTGAATTTTTCCACTTCCTGGAATCACGCAACATATGGAACCATGAACTGACCAATGCTCTGGGTTGCACATTTTGCTAAGCCTAACCACAGTTAAGACCCATCAAGCATACCATGTTGCGTGAATACGTGCACTGTGCCTTTACCTGACTTAGTTAAGCCTGCGGTGTGAAAACAGCACTACAAAGCACTTGTTAGAAAGTCCTTCCTAGTAGATAGTGGTCATAGGTAGCACCAATGCTATTTGGATATCTGAAGTTCATCCGTTGTGCAATTGTATTGACAAGTGATATTCAAGCAGACCTAGTGGAGGTTCAGAGCTCGGTCAAGTCATTTCTTGGGCAGCCCCCACTCATGACCTATTGTGAGATGCACTTATCATGATATTGGGCAAAGCGTTACGCCGCTTCTTCCAGGAGCCCAGCTCCCGAGAGTACCTCCTGATCTGCCTAAACCAATGATGAGTCCGTGCCTTGTCCCCATCTCGAAATATGAAGGATTCCCGTCTTATCTCAAGCAGTTCAAATGTGTCATCGCAGTCGGGATCCACAGAGGCCACACAGTTGCTAAGTCTCAAGGGTTCCCTGAGCAAACTGAACTTCCCATTGTTTTTATCCCGAATAAGGATCAATACTGCATCTTTCACAGAGCCTGGCTCCCCTGGTTCGAAACTGGACTCAGATGCACGCCTTATGTTGACCATCAGGAGAACTTGCATCTTCTGGAACTTTAACGTCTTGCTGCCCTTTTTCACCCATTGTCCATCAGGTGGCTGGGCCAGCTGTAAGGGGCCTTCCATCACAAACCGTGTTTCTTCCCGCAGCCAGCCCATCGTTTTGAGAGCAGTTTCCCTCATTTCAATGTTGATCACCTCTCTGTTCTTCTTGCTGTCCTGGCGGAAGGAGCGCAAGGTCCACGAATTTCCTTCCTGCTTGGTTTTCATATTGATGTGTTCCAGGTGGGACTCGATGCGGCTTTTGGCCTCCAGCAGACTGCTGTAATCTGGGTGGTACTTCATAGTGGCCTTGATGATACGGCTCAGAAGAAGGGGATACTTAGTGACTCTCTGGAGTGGAGCTATGAGGAAGGACCTCAGATTCATGCGACGAAGGGCGGTGTTGTCATTCTGAGAAACATTGAGGAATATCCTGCAGACCATGGAAATGATTAAATCATAACTTTTTCATGCATACAAAACTGTAGGAAAACCTGGGGGTGGAGTTAAAAGAGGGACTAGCCTAGAATTCCTATGTAGTCACAAGTGGACTAAGTCCAACCCTCTTTCACCCTTATCTAACCCCCAGCAGGTGCTAACTGTTGGTTGAGAAGATTCCTGTGTATAGGCTTTTTAGCAATAAATCAGTTTAATTGGACCCTCACATGTGGACCTGGTCTTTTGTGCTGAACAAAAACATATTTATCTTTAGTGACCCAAGTGCCTTAACAATGCATTATGCTGGTGCTGGGTGGAACTGAATTATTTTTAGTCAGTAAGGAGCACCATACCAGAACGGTACTTGGTACTCCCAGCAGGCACCGGTACACCCGTATCGGGGCGTACTGGTCGTAACCCATCGCTGCATTACAGGTAGTCCTCAACTTACAACCATTTGTTTAGTGACCGTTCAAAGTTACAACAGCACTGAAATAAGTGACATGACTATTTTTCACACTTATGACCACTGCAGCATCCCCATGGTCATGTGATCAAAATTCAAACACTTGGCAACTGGCATGTATTTATGTTGGTTGCATTATCCAGGGGTCATGTGATCATGTCTTGTGATCTTCTGACAAGCAAAGTCAATGGGGAAGCCAGATTCACTTAACAACCTTATGACTAACTTAACTACTGAAGTAATTCACTTAACAACTGTGGCAAAAAGGTCATAAAATGAAATAAAACTCAGTAAACAACTGTCTTTCTTAGCAAAAACAAAATTGTGGTCATAGGTTGAAGACTACCTGTTCACAAACGTAGCTCTCTTAGTGACTCAGGGAGACCAATAGGTGAGTAAAGCCATTTCATTATTCCAGTTGTCAACATGTCTCTGTTAGTATAAGCTCAGAAATATCTGTTTCTCTGGAAAAACTCATCAACTTATCCATCCCCAAAGCACAATTGTTTCCTTGAACCTCCTGCCTAGTTAAAATTTGGGACCATCCTCACCTGAGTAACTCTTTTTCCTTTTCCAATGCATTGAGCATGTTCACAGAGGATGGCTGCTGGAGACAATATGTCTGGAATGCAGGCAGCATGTTCACAAACTCCAGGAATATTTCACCAATGCACACTGTCATGAGATCATCATCACCCTGTCAACATACAAGAGGAAGGAGAGAAACAGAAATACAGAAGAATAAACAATTAATGGGGAGAAGACGGCATGTTGAGTTGATTATTCTCCTCCCAATTTGTTTTTCTGATCATTTTCACTTTCCATTAATTGGCAATATTAGTTAGAAAAAGATGCTTAAGGAAGGTGACTCCCCAAAAGGCAGAGAAACTAAGGCTTACATGAATGAACTAAAAGCAGGTGAATCAGCATGCCACACTGGTAATAAAAACAAAATGGCAGTGTCTGTGGATATTCTGATACAGCATTAAAAATCCAGCACTGTTAAGAATGTTCTGAAATTGACAAAATAGGAAATCTAAGTACTGTAAAGTAGTTCAAGCAGGAACTAAAAGATGCATAGGGATAAGTCAGCTAAGATGATCTGATTTGGTTTAAACAACTAAATGAAACTCTTCTCAAATTGCAGAGGTTGCCTAGAGTGCTAGCAAAGCTTATTATGTTACTCTGAAATATAAACTTGATATTCTTTACTGGAAAAAGATATTACAGAGATTAGACTTGATTTGGCTGATATATAGGATTGTAACAGGAGACATATTTGAGGATTAAAGGAAGTGGAGACATTTTAGAAAGGACCAGTTCTGTTGGATATCTCAAAATTTAATGACCACCTGTTGGATTTAAAGACTTCAATAATAAGATCTGAATGTGGTTTACAATACAGTTACAATGTTCTAAAGCAGGTGACCATACAGTTCTTTGGTATAGATATGGTAAATTGAAAACTTCTAAACATGGAATGAGAAAATGGGAATTCACGAAGGTAGACGGGCTCATTCATAAGTTTAAACTTCTTAGACATTCAAAACCCATTCCTTGCCTTACCATTCACCAGCTGAAGCAAATGTGCATCATTTTTGTACATTGGGATCAGGGACATGCAGTCAGGGGAGGCGGGGCCTCACCAGTGTCATGAGGAAAAGAAAAGAAAAATTAAAAGGAAAAAGGCTAAGGTACTTGCTGCCAGAGTCACAGTGGATGACTCTGTGCTTAGTGCTAACTGCAGGGGGAGGCGAGAGAACTACGGGCCTCCTTTGCATAAGGAATTTTTTGCCTTTTAACCCTTGTTCAGAGTTAAGCAAGGGTTAGAAGGCAAAAAATCCCTTATGCAAAGGAGGCACATGGTTCTCTGCCTCCTGATCTGGCAGCAGCAACTCTTGCCTAAGTTGCCTTTTTATTTTTACATTTTTTACATTTTCATCATGGTGGGCGGACAAGAGGAGAGTTGAAATCCTCTGTGACACAGCTGGAAAAGGTATGTAGATCAGACGGAGGGAGGGGGGAATTCAAAATTATTGTAATTTGTGATTTTTTATTGTGAGTAATTTGTGTGTGTGCGTGCGTGTGTTTCTTTCTTCACTTCACTCAAACAAACTCTCAATTTGAGAGAGAGTTTGTTTGAGAAGAGAGGGGCAGCCCTCTTCCCCCCCACTGGGAGCCCCGTTCTGCTCCCCTCTCCCTTTCCTCCTCCTCCTCTCCCGTTTCTTTGCCGGCTGCCGCCTCGACCCCTGCCTCCTCCGTCCCGCCGCTGAGTCCGACAGGCCTGTTGAACACAGTGGCAGGGACGGAGGAGGTGGGGAGGTGAGGCGGCAGGCGGTGGCTGTGACGGTGCCTGGCGGAGAGACGTGCACCGACCTGGAGCAGGAGTTCGGGCAGGCAGGGCCGGTGCAGCAGGCGGTGGCCGTGACGGCGCCCGGCGGAGAGACCTGCACTGGGCTGGGCTTCATCAGCTTCTCCCTGCCGGAGGACGCGCAGCGAGCCCTGAGCAAGATCCGCATCTTCGGCAGCCGCTTGGTCAGCCTGGCGCTGGCGCGGCCCAAGAAGAAGTGGAGGGCGGCAGGAGAAGGCGGCGGCGGCGAAGAGGTCCCCCAGGAAGCGCCGGAGCCTCCCAAGGCCAGGGGGCCCCCAAGAAGGCCCGGCCGGGAGAAGCTGACGAAGCCCAGCCCAGTGCACGTCTCTCTGCCGGGCGCCATCACGGCCACCACCCGCCGCCTCGCTCCCCCGCCTCCTCCATCCCCGTCGCTATGTTCAGCAGACATCTCGCGTTTATGGCGGACATAAATGCGAGACGCCTGTCAGACACAGCGGCGGGAACATTGCTTCTCTCCGCTGCCGCACTCTTGCCTCACCAACCATAATCCTCACCGCACGTCACTGATTGGGATCTCCTTTTATTGTGATAAAGGTTATGATCCAATGGGTAGAGATCCTATCACTAGGACATAAGAATTCATAAGCACCAAAAGTAAACATCTGTAGTTGCAATTTTTTTTCCCTGCAAAAATTGAGGATACTTACAGAATTCTGGGTAGGTTCACTAAGAAGCAGTTAACTACTCATTAAATATATTGGGGTTGATTTACAAATAAAAATGCACCGGACTGCAGTCCAAATCATGCAAAAGCCAATTTAAATGAACCACCTTTGATCTATGGTGACCTGTGACCACTGAGTCTATTCAAATAAGTGGACATTAGGATCGTGCAACGCATTGACAAGGACACCTTGCAAAATGCAGAAGCACGGATTGATCACCCCACCTTGAAGTATTAAAGCAGCCACATCTTCTAGAAGGGTTGCCATAGCTATTTCAAGTGTTTTTCATTCCAGTTTCGGCATATGTGGACACACATGGGCAATACTTATAGGGGGCGGGAGGAATCACAAGCAAAGCAAAATGACTGTAATTGCAAATGCCTGCAGAGACGAGGGAACCTTTGAGGACAATCCTTTTCTCATTACTAAAAATACATACAACTTCCTAATATATACCAGACTTTTGGGCTATCTCATCCAGCACTGCCCAGTTATAAGATTTCTCAGGATCTTTTTCCAGCTTAACCTGGAGTTACCAGGAATCAAACAAGTATAAAATTTGGCTATAGCCTGAACTATGCCCCACTCCCCGGCTCTCTCTCTGACCATCTGTCTATCTGGATCAGTACTATTTGTTCCAGAAGACGAAGGACCTGTGGTCCTTCAGCTGTTGATGAACTACAGCTCCCATGATCCCTCATGATTAGCCATGATAATTGTTTGGCCGAGGCTTATAGTTTAACAGTGTTTGAAGGCTTGCAAGTTCCTTACCCTACCCAATTCAATTTGGCCAGCAATTCTCCCAATTTTGTAGAGAGGCCATCTGTTGCTTAAAAATTAAAGCAGATATTTTTATGCCTGGGACCTAAGCTAACCCTATCTGTATGAGGGGAAAAAATGCAACAACTGGGTACTAGTATTAAATGAAAGCTCTTTCCCAAAGTGCTTACCAGTCTTAAAATAATCACCTCTGTTTGAACCGACTTTTGAGGTTAACCAAGAAGGCTGACATAATTAATATTTTTTTTAAAAAAATGCCTTTCCAATCCATTATAAATAACCTTGAATGCCTTCAGGAAAGACGGACAATCTGTAGTGGGTTTGAATAATACTTAAGAAATCAACCCACCCTAATGTTCATTAATTCATTAACTGTTGGCAAAGCTAAGGTTCTTTTAATTATTCACTCAGAGGCAAATCTATCCCAGTTGGATGGTGCTGAGAAAATGAATTTCTGTAGGAAATTACAGGTAGTCCTCCACTTATGACTACGGTTGGGACCAGAATTTCTGTTGTTAAGGTGTTTGTTAAGTGAGTCATGTCTAATTTTATGGCATTTTTTGCTGCAATTATTAGCTGAATCACTGCAATTGTTAAGGGAACCATTCAGTTATTAGCTGAATCTGGCTTCACCCATTGACTTTGTCAGAATCTGGCTGGGCGATCACATGACTTTGGGGCTCTGCAACTATTATAAATCTCCTAGATAATAGATAAATAAATACCTACATAAATACATACATACATATATACATATCATATTTTTTGGAGTATAAGACGCACCAGAGCATAAGACACACCAAGATTTTGAAAAGGTAATTTTAAAAAAAAGGTTTTGTGAAAAACGGGGCATGCAAAGAGTTTGGGAGGCCTGCAAAGTGCTGCTGAGGGCCAGGGAGGACAAAAACACAACCCGGGGGTGGGAGGTGAAAAACAGGCCCATTTTTCACAAAACTGGGACATGCAGAGGGTTTGGGAGGCCTGTAGAGTGTTCCTGGGGGCTGGGAAGGGCAAAAACAAGCAAAAAACAGGTTCGTTTTTTACGAAAATGGGCCCATTTTTCACAAAAAAGGGGATGTGCAGAGGGTTTGGGAGGCCTGCAGAGAGCTCCTGTGGGCTGGGGAGGGCAAAAACACCCGTTTTTGTGAAATATTGGTCCATTTTAATTAATTTTTGCCCTCCCCAGCCCCCAGAAGCACTCTACAGGCCTCCCAAACCCTCTGCGCGTCCGTTTTTGCAAAAACAGGATGCATGGGGCAGGGTTTCGGAAGAACAAAAATGGCTGTATTCAGTGTATAAGACACCCAGATTTTTCACCCTCTTTTTTTGGGGAAAAGGTGCGTCTTATACTCCAAAAATACAATACACACAGACACACAGACACAGACACACAGACACACACACACACACACCATTCGCCGAGCACCCAAATTTTGATCAATTGATGCTGCTTCTAAGAGTGAGGTGAGGGACAGTTGTGAATCAACTTTATCAATGCTGAGAATCAGTCACTAAACAAATGGTTGTAAGTTGAAAACTATTTCATATGGTTTTCATTCCTTTCAGAGGCAATAATGAACTACAAAATATAAACAGGCAGTGGTCTTTACATTATGTTAACTTTTTTTAGAAGCTATCACAACTTGTTAACATCGTTTTCCTTAAGCCAAAAGAAATATGCTCATATTGGTAACCGATGGCAGATGTCACAGTACAATAGGTTTATTGAAGTTTGGGAAATGAAGGTGCACTTCATAGGGAAAAACAGATGCTCAATTAACTAAATTGAGAACCAATGAAGCATATTTCACGTGCCTCTTCTATGGATTCAAGATAGATGAGCAGAAAGGATTCTGGGATACATCTGTTGCAGTAACACATTTGGAAGACATCTTCCCAGAATTCTGAAGTTCTCAATACATCGGATGTCAACAAGATGATAAATAGAATAAGAGAGTTGGAAGGAACCTTGGAGGTCTTCTAGTCCAACCCCCTGCTTAGGCAAGAAACCCTATAGTCTTTCGGAAAAATGGTTATCCAATCTCTTAAAAACTTCCAGTGTTGGAGCATTCACAACTTCTGGAGGCAAGCTGTTCCACTGATTAATTGTTCTGTCAGGAAATTTCTCCTCAGTTCTAAGT